GTGTTCCTTCCGTCAGTATCCACAAACATCCACAGAACGAAACAAAATTTGCGCCGGACCCACTCCCATGAAACCGAACACTGGAGGAAACGGCCCCGGAAGACCTACGTTGTTTACATCCGTTGCCATGGCGACGGCCGGACCTCTCCATTCAAGCGTTGATCTACGGTGTGGTTGTGGTCATTCATTCTTTTGTTTCTGTTTGTTTAATGGTGTAGGGTTATCAGCTTTCGTTTTTATGTATCTATGCATGTATGAATTCATATATAGTGTCATATTTGTATATATATATATATATATATATATATATATATATATATATATATATATATATATGTATGTATATATATATGTATGTAAATACATATATATGTATATATATATATATATGCATTTTATGTATATATAATATAATATATATATATATATATATATATATATACATACATTCATATTTATATGTATGTATATATATATATATATATATATATATATATATATATATATATATATATACATACATTCATATATATATGTAAGTCGGAAGACAACTAAATACAGTACATATACGTACGTATATATACATTCACTCATATATGCTAATGCAGTATATATACATGTATTAAAGTCATAATCTAAGACATAACAAGACACTTCTGTGACGTACATGGAAACATAACTAGGGCTAAAGAACACATGGAAGACAAACTGTAAATACTGGACATGATTTCTAGCGTCGTTTCCACGAAACGTCGTAAGTCGAGACCGTCGCAAACCGAGGATTCCTTGGATATGTGTATATATGTACACATACATACACAGACACACAACACACTCACACAGATATATATATGTATACATATAGATAGATAGATAGACAGGTAGATAGATAGATAGATAGATAGATATAGATATAGATATAGATGTAGATATATATAGATATATATGTATTGACATTCATATATATATATATATATGCATATATATATATATATATGTGTGTGTGTGTGTGTGTGTTGTGTGTGTGTGTGTGTGTGTGTGTGTGTGTGTGTGTGTGTGTGTGTGTGTGTGTATGTGTGTGTGTGTATGTGTGTGTGTGTGTGTGTGTGTGTGTGTGTGTGTTGTATATATATGGATATATATACATATATATATAACATATACGTACACACACACACACACACACACACACACACACACACACACACACACACACACACACACACACACACACACACACATATATATAATATATATATATATATATATATATATATATATATACATATAAATACTGCGGGCAAGACTGCACCAGTTGGATGGTTATTAAACCTGCGTCACGCGATGGACACCCTGCAGAGAGCGCCGTAAGTTAATACCATTATCAAGGCAAGGTGTGTGTGTGTATGTACATATGTATATACATACACACACACATGCACACACACACACACTCATACATACACAAACACACACACAAACACATACACTCTGGTAAAAGAGCAGTTCGGGGATTCTGTAAAGTGCATTATTTCGATTGGTTTAGTGTTTCTTGTTTTTTTGGTTTGTTTGTTTGTTTGTGTTTTAAAGTTTCATTGTGACAATAAAAAAAGGCAACCCTCATTACGACAATTAAAACGAGTATGAGAATGTCATAGCGCCAGATGTAACACATGCATTTTTGTTGTTGTTTTTACAAACATATCACGAATCGTAATTTACATAATTGATCTCTTCGAAACAACTTTCGTGTGGATTCGTTTGGTTTCTCTCGAACGGCAGTTACATAATGTTCCCATAGATGAGAGTGGAAAATTAAAAAGTAATAATAATAAAACTAATGTTTAGTGAGAAAAGTATTTTCTTTATTTCAGAAACTTTGACCTGCGTAGGGAAGACAATCCAAGTGCAGCAAATGTCGTTCTTTATTATTACAGTAACATCTCAAAACATAAATTACAGTGGTGTGTCTTGGTTCCCTTTGGACCACCACTCACACGTACACCCCACCACCAAATTCCCAGGAAAAAAACACCAGAACAGGGGCAGAATTTTTCCTTTTTTTTTTTGACTACGTGTACTGAGACCTAAGGAGGAATGTCGAAAATATGCTTTATGAAAACTTGAAAACTTGTGTATTGTAAATAAGTTTAAGTAATCTTGTTTAGATGATATGGAATGATTTTGATTTGATTCGACGTGTGTGTGTGTGTGTGTGTGTGTGTGTGTATGCACACACACACACACCCACACACACACAAGCACATTGATCGCAGTCATTTCATATAGATTATCTAGACTTTTATTTTGGTCTGATATTCTATTCGTGGTTTATCAACTCGTATTCAGGATTTCAACTGTATATACATATCTTCATATACATATTATCCAATCGAAACCTTTTTTATATCAAAAACAACTTATACTTTGATTCAGCAATTTTCATATCAACACGTCTCTTAACCTCTGGTGGAAACCCCTGAGCTCTAATCCCAACCGCCCTTGCCTTGCCCCGGCCCTCGACACCGCCCCGAGTGGCACTCCTACTTCACATTCCTCTCGGGGGAAGTCGGCAGGACCTCGTTCCTCAGCTCGTCCACGTTCAGCAAGTCGTAGTCGCGACGAACATGGAGTCCATCCCCGGGTCGTTCCTGCACTGGCTGTGGTCCGTGACGTAGAAGGTCGGGATGGAGGCCGTGACGCGCACCTGGGAGAAGAGGCTCCGCACGGCCGCCCGGGGGTCGTTGGGGACGTCCCTGGGGGGAGGGAAGGGGGGGAGGGGGGTCATTTCGGAAAGCAAAAGGTGCTCGCGTAAGTATGGATGTGTATGCGAATAGACATAGGAAATGTACATTTGTAAATTCACCCATATATACATATACATAAAAAACATACATACATACATATATATATGCATACATATGCATAACATACATATATATGGATACATACATACATACATATACATACATGCATATATATATATATAAGGGAACATATAGACATACATACATGCACAAACACACATACACTTAAATACATACATACATACGTAAATACAGACACATAAACGTAAAATACACTACATACAATCACCACAACACAACAATCAACACACAAACCGACAGATAGACAAACAGGCGAACACGTAAAAGCAGACCATACCTCGCGAGGACTGTAATGGACGGCAGAGAGAAGAAGACGAAGTTCCTGCACTGGACGAGAACGAGCGAATCCCCGAACGAGCGAACGGCCAGTCTGCCTGGGACGAGCACCGCTGGGGGGAGGAGGAGGGGGGAGGGGAGAAATATTAGTCTCTGGGGTTCCTTTTGGCCATAATGTGGTCTGGGTGTTATGTGTATCGTCTCTGTTACTTATTTGTATGAGAGAGAGAGACAGACAGGCAGACAGACAGAGACAGACAGAGACAGAGAGATACAGAAACAGACAGACAGACAGACAGAGAAAGAGAGAGAAACAGACAGACAGACAGACAGACGGACAGAGAGACAGAGAGAGGCAGATAGACAGACAGAGAGAGGGAGAGAGATTTCGACGATTTACTCCAAAAAATCCCAGAGGCAGTGGCGTATGCAGATGACCTCACTATTCACCTGAGCTTCTCCAAAGACAACGCCAACACAAGCAGCTCAAGACTCCAGAGAATTATTGATATTGTATCAAACTGGGGTTCCTGTTGGAAGATAAAATTTGCTGCCGAAAAAAACCAATCCCTCATTATATCAAGAAGCAGGGACCGCATCCTAAGAAAAAAAAAAACTTTATGCAAGAACGCCTTTTACAAGAGCAGATTCCATCAACATACTTAGATTTATTTTCGAAAATTTAACTTTAGCCAACACATCCAAAGTCTGGCTCGCAAAGTCACACAGAAGCTGAACGCCCTAAGAAGGATTCTCCATCTCCTATCTCCAGAAGGTGCTCTACAGCTCTACAAGTCACAAGTTCGTTCAGCACTGGAATACTCCTCCCTGGCATGGAACGGAGCAGCTCAAACGCATCTCAGTCTCCTGGACAAAATTCAAGACAGCTGTCACACTCATCGGTAGAACTGCTAATGAAGCTGACATAAATGTTGACGATCTTCAGCGTCGGAGAGATGTAGCAGGACTTACTACAAGCCAAGGCCCACCAGTCACGCTTCATGGCGCCACTCAGACAGCAGCCCCATCGAAGCGCCGTCTGACAAGGGCAAACAGCAGACCCAGCTGCCCTCAGCTCTCCCACGGCGAGTACATCTCATTTCCATTTCCATTTTATTTGTATATATGTGAGATTGTGGAATGATATAAATAGTAAGAATGATATTCCATTTTACCATTCTGAATTTCAAATGCTTTTAAAATAGAAATCTCTATCATGAAGTTCACATGGAAAATGACAGGTTTTATAACAGATGTTATAGCGACACTTCTTTAATATAAACAAAGAGAATAACATGAATTCAAGAATCATAAAAACGGACGACAGAGAGAGAAGAGAGAGAGAGAGAGAGAGAGGAGAGAGGAGAGAGAGAAGAGAGAGAGAGAGAGAGAGAGAGAGAGAGAGAAAAGAGCAGAAGAGAGAGAGAGAAGAGAGAAGAGATAGAGATGAGAAGGAGAAAGAGAGACCGAAACAAGAGAGCCGGTCGAACTTCCGCCAGACCTGGTTCGTGTGACTTGTAGTCGAGAAAGGTATCGTAGTCGCAGAACCCGCCAGGTCCCGCTCAGGACTCCCTCATGTTGCCGAATAGATGTGAATTAAACAAAGAAACATAAAGGTAAAATGCAGAGTCCAGTGTTTGTGGAAAAAAAATTACATTGTGGATATGCTACATATTGTACATATACATACATAAAAAAGTTGTGTATGTGTGTGTGTGTGTGTGTGTGTGTGTGTGTGTGTGTGTGTGTGTGTGTGTGTGTGGTGTGTGTGTGTGTGTGTGTGTGTGTGTGTATGTGTTGTGTGTGTGTGTGTGTGTGCAAATACATATATTGATTCTAGGCTTCTTTCAAAACAACAAAAGCAACAACCGAGCCTTCCTGAATCGGAGAGCTCCTGACAGGATAACCAGAGAGGAACCGACTTACATTCGCTCCCTCAACCTTCCCGGAGAATCGGTGACAAGGGAAGACCTTCCTCGTGCTAGCCACCGTCACCCACTCGCCCGTCAGCTGCCAAAGAACACTCGCCTCAGTCTAAGTCATCTTTATTCTATGTATGTTGTACTAATATTGTATATAGAAAGGTAATAGGGATAATGAATAACCCCATGATGAGAGGTATGTAGTTGATGTTTTCTTAGGAAGTCTTCAATAAAATAACGTCATTCTTTATGGAGATCTCATATTGCATTGTGGAAGTATTCTTACCCAAATCAGAGCTTCTCCACATCTCTCTCAGTGACCCCTGTCTATCATTATCTAAACTAGAGAATAAGATAAATAAAAAACAAGAATTCTCACCAAGATTTAAAAAAAAAAAAAACTGCAATAGGAGATAAATAAATGACAGAAGACGAGTTCTCACCTTGTTTAAGTCTGTATCGTTACTGATTGAGAAGTGCCTGTTGCAGACGTCCTGGGGCAAGCTTGGGAAGATGAAAGCTCGACTTGGCCTCGAGTCCCAGGCGGTCAGCACGAGGAACAGCAGCCACGGCGTCGAATACATCGTCAAGTCAGATTGACCTCTACGAAGGTACTCCTCAAACTGTGTGGGTATAATGGAGTATGTGTAACGTGGGTATGAATTGCCTCTACCAGTATTAACAGTGTTAGTAAACAGAGCGAATAAAAGAAAGGGAGGGAGAGACAGAGTCTTACTGAATATATATGGAAACATTAAAAGTGTACATAGGATAATATATAAAGGAGAGGTGCTGCCCTATTAGCGTTCCCAAGAAAAAAAGAGATATAAATGTAGGCATATATCAGATATATAAACAGATATACAATGTTGCCCAGAACAGATTAAAACTATGCTGTTGCTGTTATATATATATATATATATATATATATATATATATATATATATATATATATATATATAACCTATTATTGCACTAAAAATATTACAAAACAATACGATTTCAAAGAAAACACTCTTTAAGACTAGCGCAAGCAAGCAATTGCCAACACCAACTGGTCTATAATAGCCTGGCCACTAGAATATGGTCCTCATTAACTGTTTCATTCTGGACTTTCATTTCAAGAACTTTATTTACATAACTTTATAGTCCCTCACTCTTGATAAAATGGTTACATATTGTTGGAATCAAAGTATACACCACATAATGTATCACTAATATTGCGCTGTAGACAAGTTGACAAAGCCAACAGGTAGTTGCACTGTGTTCAATCATAGCACTGTTCTTTTCCGCTTTTGAAACAGAAGTCCCCGTACAGTATGATTTCGCTCGGCAAGGAATGCACTGACACGAATATTCGATATTTAGGGAAGAAACACAAAGTAGATATGAATTACTAAGGGCGAAGCTGCGAGAGGGAGCGATGCAAGCACTGGCACGTCCTGGGACAGACTGAAGGACCTGCACCGTCGAGCCAGGGTGTGGGGCATCTGAGCCTCCTTCGATCCTCTATTTTCACTTTCTGTAAGGTCTTATTCCCGATGACTGCTTACTCAGCTTTTTTTCCCTTATTTTTTATCTTTTTCTTCATTCTTTCTTACTTCCTTTTTTTTCTTGTTTAATTTTTTTTTCCTTCATTCTTTCTTGTTTTCCCTTTCTTTTTTTCTCTCTCCTCGCTGCGTCATCGTCTTACAATTCAATGAAATTACCGTTACTACATCCATATACACTTTACAATGATTAATTTCATTTTCCACTCAGAAAACGTTACCGACAACAACCTTACACGTGGCGCATGTGGCAACCTGACCCACCTGTGCCACAGAGACCCGCCCCCTTCCTCCGACACACACCGTCCATTATCTTTCCGCCTTAGAGACCAATCCTTTCATAAAAACTAAGACTGTCGTTAAATGGCAGTTGTCGTACAGGAGGGATGGAAATATATTTTCCGTTTCCGCTGGCATTTTCTTCTCGTCTCCATATTTAATTATGACAGAAAAAAAATCACTGTATGCCAGAGCGTTTTGTTCTTTTCCTTAAGCTTCAGTATACCTATTTCTGTATAATGTTTTCTTCCATAGAATGCTTTGTCATCATGTTTTTTTTTATTTGCAACAACTTGACGGTGTTCCTTCTCATCTCCACGTCTATCGATTAAGATAGACAATATATACCAAATGTTTCCTTATCTTTTTTTAAGATGAGAGTTTTTAGTATATCTATTTGTGCATAGTGTTTTTTTCTACTATAAAATGCTTTGTCTTTGTTTTTTTCTACATTTGCAACAACAACTTGACGATGTTCTTGGAAATACGCTAATGCATAAACATCCAAACTGCTTGATTCAAATATATATATATATATATATATATATATATATATATATATATATATATATATATGTATGTAGTGTGTGTGTGTGTGTGTGAACCTGTGCCTGAAATCCGATTTTTGTAGAGGACGTGAATGTAACAGGTGAAGAGATGGGTAACAACAGGTAACAGAACGACGCTTTGGCATCTTCATATCCGGGTAGACTTCACATCGCTCGGTTCATTGTCTTGCCATAGCAGATATCAATATCCCCCAAAAAAGGAAATAATGATCGTATACAAACCTTGGACTGAGTTCTAAGTACAGTATTATGCTCACCAACTCCATAATCAAACCTGTCTAAATCAGTAAACACGAAGCTAAATAGATGTGTCTTATTGTAGAAACGTATTTTCTCCCGCTCTCCCTACAGCGACGTCCCGCAGCCAGTTGCCCATCCTGTACTTACCTGGAGGGACCAAGGTCGACAGAGTCTGGATTGCACCTCCCTTGCCCGGTGCGTCAATTTGCATCGATTATGGAGTAAATCTGCACTGCCTGCTATGTGTTCTAGTAGATGTTTGCCCCTTTGCCCGCGCGCGCGCACACACGCACACACACACACACACACACACACACACACACACACACACACACACACACACACACACACACACCAAATAAACAAACAAATAAATATATATATATATATACATATATATATATATAATATATATATATATATATATACATATATATATATATATAGAGAGAGAGAGAGAGAGAGAGAGAGAGAGAGAGAGAGAGAGAGAGAGAGAGTACACACACACAAGGTCTATATAAATACTTACATAGACCTTGCACACATGCGTTTCCATCCTAGTCTGTGTGTGGGTGCAGCCAGGATTCGCCAAGCTGCCAACTACAGGGGAAGTACAAAGGTTTATGGCACGATTCTCGTCTTCGTAGGTTTATGGTGTCACAATGAATAAACCAAACAAATCTTTCATTTTCTATAGGTTCTTTTGTGTAGCTTAGAGAGTAATGGTTAACATGGCATCAATATATCCTACAGAAAACGAGGAAAGAATGGAGATGTTGCTTTCATCTGTCTTGTATGCCGTGTCGTGTAACTATACGTAATTTAATTAATACTTGAAGAACCCTGCAATAACCTGGACAGACTTGTATGAATCTCTCCATAGGGAAAAGATGCTCAACCTTAGCACGTTCGCCGGACGTTTTTTATCCATCTTTACTGAGGTCCCCAGGTAAGTTTTTCGATATCTTTTTTTTTATTGTTGACCTTTTAATATTATTCTTTCGACTATTATGAGATGCGTATTCCATTTGGCGTTACAAAGTTTATGGCGTAGATTGCTGTCTTATAATTGTTTTGTTGTAATATCCTGGAAAATATCCTGCATTATCGACGTAATTTGGTATAAATTTATTCTCTATTGATGGTCAGAGACAGCATTTGCGATTTTTTTTTTTTTTTATAAATAGACGTGATGCAGATAGCAAGTCCTTTTAGCCGTAAATGTTACTAACATATTAGCCAATACAGTGTTATTCCTGAAACAAGATTTAGTGTTCAACTATTACTAGGTTACATTATAGTTTCTTGGTTATATTAAGATTTGACCATGTTGGTTTGGCCTACGTTAGATATTAGGATAAGGATACGGAGAGATAGGTTTACATTAGGCTAGGATATGTTAAAGGTTAGAGTAGGATAGGTTAGCTCAGGTGAGTGTACGGTTAGATTGGACTACACAGAGCTTAGGTCGGGCGAGGCTGGAAAGATAGGTACCCGCTCTTTAAAAGGATAAACAAATACGCATCGCCACAGAAGATTCGAATCTTTCTCAGCATCATCCTTCACCCTCACCTTTCCGTTCACCTTCTCACCTCTCACGTTCCTCCGATACCATCTTGTGCTACATGCCTTAACAATACGTGTCTCAATTACGAAAAATCCTCATACATGTCATAAATCTGTAGAATTGTATTATCTTAGGACAGGAAGAGGCGTTCCGAAACAGCGCCTACAAAAAATAATGTTATCCGTGTCATATCCTGCAGACGAAGGCGACGCTTGGGAGAAAAATCCATGTCACTCAACTCATGACGTCACTGCAGCCCCTAAAAACACCCCTACTTCAGGGTCACGTAGCGGAGGATTCCTGTTGGTCCCCGGTGCTAACAACAACGCTCCCCAGTAGAGATTGAGACCTTGAGGGGATGGTTTTTTGCAGCTGCCCATCGTGGGGAAATATCGTTTCCCTTCTTGCTATGGTTGGTGTATTCGACGCTGTTGGTTTTTGTATGGGGTATGATATTTAAAGGGGGGAACTGATGACTAGGAGAGTACAGAATTTTGTTTTGTTTTTTCTTTCATTTTTTACTTTTTTTAAATGCAGGGAAACTTAGCTCTGTAGTTTACCTCGGAATGGAGCTGAGTTTTGTCCTCTTTTTTACAATTGTTTTTCAAAAGCTTATTAAAGCACAGTATTTTCGTTGTTTTTTCGGATGATTTTTTGGCGTTGTTTCCCTCTCCTCCCTCCTAATAAAAAAAGGTGATTTGATAATAAA